ACCCACAACACCAATTGCAGGATAAGTGGTTTTAAAAAGGAATATACTCTTTTCTTGAATTGTTGTCGTATCGGTTCGGAAAAGCTGGAAGTTGATTCCAAAGAATGTTGTGCTGGAACAAAGTGCCTTGAAAAATTATTGGAAGATTTAATACTCGTCCAGATGATTGGGATGAAATATATCATTGTACGGTGGTGAAAATCAGCAGCAGGTATCAATCCGAACAATTCCTCAGAATAAATCAATTTATATCGGTAGAAAAATGCACAAGATCATCTCTTTCAGTGGATCAAGTCGGACAAAGGCGTTGACTATCGATAATTAGCCGCCCGACTTTGAATCGGTCTAACGGAAGGAGTTGGTACTGTGGCGCTCCTGCCCACAGGTGAGAACAGTATTCCATATGCGGCCTGACTTGGGCTTTATATAATTTCAGGCGGTGTTCTGGCATGAAATATCGTCTCACCCTATTGAGCACTCCTAACTTCTTGGAAGCTATCTTAGCCTTCTCCTCCAGATGACCGCAAAACTGGACGTCGCAAGATATATCAACGCCCAGAATTCCTAGACTCGACTTTTTATCAAGGGAAGTGCCCTGAAAGTGAGGAGACAAACGGCGTCTTTTTTGACAATAACGCGCAGATATATTTTTTGGGGTTAAATTGGACAAGATTTTGTTCACCCCAGATCGAAACTTGATGGAGAAGTTTCGATTTAATAAAGTCTATTCCGGTACTCATCGGTATGTGCCCGTCGAGATCCTTGCATGACCGGTATATAATGTATCTCCATTTTCTGCATAGCAATGAATATTACTTATCTGTAACATATCATTGATATGCAGAAGAAACAGAGTCGGAGATAGTACACAGCCTTGCGGGACACCAGCATTCAAAGGTTTTAAATCAGAGCATGCTCCGTCGACTACGACCTTAATGCTACGTTCCTTGAGAAAACTGGCGACCCAAATGCACAGTCTGCAGGCAACCAAAATGAAGGTAGCTTTGAAAGCAGCGCTCTATGCCACACCCGATCAAAGCCTTCGCGATATCCAAAATATATTATCCCTTCTCGATAGCCAGCCCATCGGTGTGTTAAGTAAGCTAAAAGATCACCGGCCGAACGTCCCTGTCGAAAGCCGTACTGGCGATCACAGATTAGCTGGTGTTCTTCTAAACAGTTGACGGTTAATGATGGATTCCATAACCTTCGAGAATAAAAATTATATTAGTTCTGGATCCTAAGACTTTTTAGGGATCGGATGCACCAGAGCAGTCTTCCAAAACTTGCCTTAGAAAGTAGTTTAGATTTATAGGGAGGATAAATCGTAGATAAGTGGTATTAACAATAAAATACCTATGTAATTATACAATTACAAAGGCAACTGTGTACGTAAACTTAAGTTGTGACTAACAAGATAGTGATAAATGCAAACAAAATTTAATTTCTAAGGAAATTTAATAATATAAAAAATATATCAAGAAATAATTATTCTTCATAACCGCAGAATAAATCAATTTATATCACTAGAAAAATCACAAAATCATTTTAAGATCAAGTTAAAACACATTGTGACTGATATAATTATCATCATCATCATGATATCAGCTGTTAATTGTTCACTGCTGAACATAAACCTTCTCTATGTACTGTGCTTTCTATTAGGAGGTAAGTTGACAGCCGTACTTAGGCTTTAGTGATGATTTATAAAGGATGCTGCTGCCTATCTCCCAACCATTAAGCTCCCTTGGTCGCCTTTTACGATACCTTCATGAAAGGAAGTATTGCCTCATTCTATGCCGGGACCGGGACAATAACTAATATATTTTAATTTAATGAAGAACACAAATTTAATGGAGAGAATAATAAATACCTGAGTACTTCTGAGTAGGCCGTCAGCTTGTTTTACATTTTAAGTATCTGAAATTATCTTATTCTTCCTAAGACAATGATAAGAGCAAACAAAATTATATTATCCCTTCTAAGACAATGATAAGTGTAAACATAAAAAATAATTATTCTTCCAAAGATAGTCATAAGTGAAAGCAAAATTATATGAATATTCCTAAGATAGTGATAAGTATAACAAAATTATATTATTATTCCTAAAACAGTGATAAGCGGAAGCAAAATTGTTCTATTCTTCCTAAGACAATGATAAGTGCAAAAAATATATTATCCTTTCTAAGACAATGATAAAAGCAAACAAAATTATATTATCCCTTCTAAGACAATGATAAGTATAAACAAAAATATATTATTCTTCCAAAGATAGTCATAAGTGAAAACAAAATTATATGAATCTTCCTAAGATAGTGATAAGCATAAACAAAATTATATTATTCTTCCTAAGACAGTGATAAGTGCAAACACGAGAAGAAAGCACGATTCAATAGAATTTGTTATATTAATAAATATAACAAATTGAGAAAGTTTGTATAACGATGCATGGATGAATGAATGTTTACCTTCACGCATAAACCACTGATTGGATTTGAATGAAATTCGGTACACGGGTTGGTTGTAGCTTAACTTAGTATATAAAATACTTTATGTATTGATTCACGCGAGCGAAGTTGCGAGATATAGCTAGTAAACAATATACGATATAGTCTGATGAAACTTGAATCTAGTAATATTTATTAGTTACTCTATAAAAAAAAATATAAACACTCCTTAGGTCTTTGGGTTTAATACTCGTAGGTGGTATGTTGACCATGTTGACGTCTTTTGGGGTCTTTAGAGGACGTTGAAGTCTTTTACTGACTGCGCATACTTTATAACTTAACTAGCGCCTCGCCACGGCTACGCACGGTTTTTTTTTTAATAAAATGTAGTATATGTTACTCACTGATAACGTGACTATTTATAAATGAAATAATTTTTAAAATTGGTCAACTGTTTTAAAAGCTAATCTATTACAAACAGAAATCATATTGTATTTCATAATTTAAATTTTATTGGCGTATTAAATATACTCCTTTTTTGAAGTGGGTTGAAAAGAAAATTTCGATCGACTTCAAAAATGGAGAAGGTTTTTAATTCCGTTCTATTTTTTATGTTTGTAATAAACTTAGAACGTTGTCTTTTATGAACTAATTTGGAAATTTCTATTTTTGTCTTTCAGATTGGTTTCATAGAGATTCTATAGAGGTAATTTTGAAATCGGTATTTCTTTTTTAAACAAAATCTTAAATTATTTGTAGCAGTTTAGATAGGAACAGACAGAAAACATATTGTTCTTGGAAAAAACAAACCTCTTATAATTATCTCGTTTGCTTAGACTTTTAAGGTCGACAAAGAACTATTCTTAGCATACTCGCATTATTGAAAATTAACAAATTATCTATGGATTACGCAGGACTTTAATATCAGAATAATCTATAAATAATTTAAAACGTATTTGTATTCTGCTATTCGTATTTTTGTTATTCTGAATAACAGCGGGTTACATGTAATAAACATATATATATGTAACCCGCTGTTACTCAGAATAGCGTAGTATTTTCCCTTCCAATAAACCGCGACTCTTTCCCATTATACTACAAAGAAATATGATTAATAATATCTGAATAATAATATTTATTATCTATGTGAACATAACGCATTTATTTGCTCATTACTTGTAGTCATTGAATGCTCATTAGCTAACACATTGAATATGTTCGTAAATACAACAGGTACTTATATGTTCAAGGATGATAAGTTTTTATACTCGTTTCTTCATTGATTACTCAATAATATATTTAATGTGTATGTTTCTAAAGTTTTATGATATATACTAAATAAATTTAATGTATAGTTACAATTTAAAAAATGTGTATTTAAAATTATATTTTTAAAATATCATTTGTTTATTTGACCTACTGAACGAACTTTACAGTTTCCAATACACTTACCCAGAAAAAACATTAGTACAATAATACCTTCTTTACAATTATAATTAAAAGAAATAATATTACTAAGATTAAAGTACCGTACAAACATACAACGATATTAGAAATAGCATTTATACGATAAATATCTGAATATAAACACTATGTGGTCATTTGACGAAACTCCAGCAAATTAGATGCAAATACGTCTAATATATAATACGTTAGCCGTGTGGTCCCAACATAGAATAGGTCACCCTTTTCTATCTCGTGGGTGTAGTAAGAGCTGACTAATGAAGGGCGAGGCATAGACTGAAGCATCCCTCTTAAAACATCTCTAAAGCCTGATTGCGATTGCCAATTCGCCTGCCAAGTGTGGCAACTCCTGCAAAAGGGGGAGGCTTATGTTCAGCAATAGACAGTTAAAGGCTGATATGATGATGATATAATACCTTACACCTTCTCTTTAATCGTGCCAATCATGATAAAAGTAACATAATGTGATGCAATATTCATGTTAATTTTAAATATAATCCATTTATTTACTAAAGTTCATTAAAGTCCATTCAATCGTTTAAACATAATTATGTAAAAAAACATATTGTTTAAGAATAAAAAATCCTTTACGAACATTCTAGTTTATAATACCAATCGAATAGGATTTATAACGGACACATTCCTACTATTCCTTAGCAGAATCTTTATGTAACAAAATGTTTACATTTCTTCCTTAAACACATTACTATGTTACTCTTCGTTTTATTTTTAAATGTCACTTTATTGATAATAACAAACGTTCTTTATGATTTATATTCTGAACGATGCCCAAACGCAATTATGTTGAAAGACGACAACAGATCAGTCATCCTTTGATTAGATATGTACTACACGTTTTGTCCTCATCATGACCCTTCTCTGTCAACTCCACAGGAGGATTTATATTTTTATTAGAGCCTTCGGGAAATCCTGGATTATTACCAGCTCATGGTTTCACTAACATATAAAAAGAAAATATTTTTAGTCAAACTTATAAATTGATAACGCAACCCCTCTAATATCGTACGCTCGTAAAAACGATATTTTATTTCATACCTGACTGAGTCTAATGTTTTTCTTTTGTTACAGATTCGATTACGCTTCGAAAGATGAGAATGCTACACAAATGGAAGTTCCTGAAAAAGATTTCGAAACGAAGGTAATTTCAACGTCTAGCTTACGCAAAATCGTTTATAGTACATATTTGTATAATACATGGATATATTTTTCTATATTTTTGTTACAGCAAAATGGATTATAAAGTACTGAACTACCAGCGAGTCAATGCATTCCAAACGAAGATACACAACAGATACGTGACAACTAAATGTTTCGATATGAGAACCAGGCAAAATCCTAACGTTATTGGTAACAATGCTACGTGAAATGTAGCTACGAACAAATCAAAAATGGGCGAGGCATATGTCGATTCCAACTACACTCTAAATTACACAGATATATACAACGTGATTGACGACGAAAAAGATGCATGCGCTATCGCAGACGAACCCAAATACCCGAGCAGTTTTGGGATAACATTAGCAGTGCCAGAATGGGAAGCAATATGTACTGCAATAGTACTCACACTTATAATCATATCGACAATTGTTGGGAACATCTTAGTAATACTTAGCGTATTTACATATAAACCACTTCGTATCGTCCAAAACTTTTTCATCGTATCTTTAGCAGTAGCAGATTTAACTGTCGCTATTTTAGTACTTCCCTTTAATGTAGCTTATTCCATACTAGGACAATGGGTATTTGGGATATATGTGTGCAAAATGTGGTTGACGTGCGACATTATGTGTTGTACATCGTCTATATTAAACTTGTGTGCAATTGCCCTCGACAGGTACTGGGCTATTACGGACCCCATAAATTACGCTCAAAAGAGAACTTTAGAAAGGGTTTTGCTAATGATCGGAATAGTTTGGGCCCTTTCACTAATCATTAGTTCCCCTCCATTACTGGGATGGAATGATTGGCCCGATGTTTTTGAGCCCGATACGCCCTGTCGTTTGACTTCTCAACCGGGTTTCGTCGTATTTTCTTCATCTGGATCTTTCTATATACCATTAGTTATAATGACTGTAGTTTACTTTGAAATATACTTGGCTACTAAAAAAAGACTTAGAGATCGAGCGAAAGCAACAAAAATCAGTACTATCTCAACAGGTCAGAATCGTTTTACTGTAAAAGATAGCGATCAGAACGATCAAGATTCAGTAAGTTCTGAAGCTAATCACAATGAGCATCAAGGTGTTACGCGTTTGGTCTCAGATAATGAAAAGAAAAAGAAAACAAGAAAGCTAACTCCTAAAAAGAAACCTAAAAAGCGCTATTGGAGTAAAGACGACAAATGTCAAAATAAACTCATAGTACCAATTTTATCTAATGAAAATTCTGTATCAGATATGGTAGAAAATATGGAAAATAGAAATACCTCCTCTGAGAGCAATTCTAAAGAAACTCATGACGATGAACTGTTGCCGGTAAACGAAGCGACATCGATAAAGGCCCCTAAGCGAGCAAAGCCCAGTCAACAAAATACTGTTTACCAGTTTATTGAGGAAAAACAAAGGATATCGTTAACAAGAGAGAGACGAGCTGCCAGGACACTTGGGATTATAATGGGAGTATTTGTCGTTTGTTGGTTACCTTTTTTTGTAATTTACCTTGTCAACCCATTTTGTGCAAGCTGCTGTTTATCTAATAAGTTTATTAACTTCATCACTTGGCTCGGTTACGTTAATTCAGCTTTAAATCCCTTAATTTACACAATATTCAACATGGACTTCAGAAGAGCTTTCAAGAAATTGTTGTGTTTGAAACCATGAAAGCAAATTGTGCCAAAACAATTATGAATTAGAGTTTTATGCTTAAAGAAGTTACAGATGCCGCTGATTTGCTCAAATTACTAAGTTTTAAAACTTTCATAGTGATATGATAACTTAGAAATTTTATCAACTAGAAATATTTAATTTTTAGAATATTCATACCAAATAAATATCGTCTTTAAGCATTATATGTTTACATAAGTCGGGTATAAAATAAAATAACTTAAACGGCGTTTGTACGGAGCATTGTAATTTTTGCAAAATCTAATTGGTAACTTCTGCTTTTACAGACTCCTACAAATTTGCTACAAGGTCGTTGCTCTAGAAATTGTATTCGAAACAATCGCTAACACCTAATGACTTTCACCAATTTTATATAATATATAAATAGTATCAATACATACACTTACAGATATACTTTTACAAAATATCCTATTTTTATTTTAAATACACTGTTGAGACTTAACGCGATGAAATATTTTGCAAGTTAATAGTACCTATATACCCGCTTCTTTATTGATGACATCCTGCCGTGACCCAGGACGTGGTGAAATCTACCTCGAAACGTCGGCAATAAAGAAGCAGATATGTACTGTTTACCTACAAAAAAATTTGATCGCGTTAAGTCCTAATAGTGTATTAAAAATATATTTAAACAACGCGAAAGTTTAAGGTTAACTATATATCCTTAATTGTAAAATATGATTATGATATGTTAAATATACGAAAAATTCAGTACAGAAAATCAGCCCAACACAGGTCATCTATTGATGTGAAATGACTTCATTGCTAAATTCTAGTTTAATGTGATATATTTAACGTGTACATACTTACTGGTTTTTGTGCATAGCACGGTAGAAATTACATATAGTAAATACAATTGTAAATACAAATTCGTGAAGATCGAATTTAATAATAAGAAAATAATTATTAGCAACGAAAAATCTTCAAACTATTATACTACGATGTAATATTGTAAGTTGTATATACATACATATCTTTATCCTGTGTAAATTTTGTAAAAAAAAAATACGATGATAATTTGATTTTTAAGACTTTGTTTTCGTGGCACTAAATATTAAGTAATCAATCAAACGACTTTGTTCCTTTCATGTAGCTGTTAAAATAAATATTGATTCAGATATCCCTTTAAAATAATTTGAGCCCTTATTTAAAAGGGATATTAATATTATAGTGATTTATACTAATTCTTGTGAATTGTAATAAAACATATTGATTGTTTATTTGTTGTTTTACTTATTGTTCCTAGAAAAGAATATTACTTAATACATATCTTTAACATGTGTTGTGTAAAAAGGTAAGACTTCAACTTGATACCACTCATTTTACTTCTTCATATCCAGGATGTCGTACGAAATAATTAAAGAAACTAAATATGCCATGCGTCTGTATGAAAGAATGAGTATATTTTATTTGTATTATACAATATAGGGAAACAAGCAAGACAATTAATAAATGTAATGATACATTTGTATAAATACAGTAAGGTTATTGTTGTTATTGCTGAAATCAATATTTTGAAGACAACCTTCAGATATAGGACTAATTGTTGTACGTGTAGGTATAACAATATTGTATAATTAAGAAAATGATTCCTTGCTCTATATAATAAATACATTTATTCAATAGAAATATAATTATATAAAACACAATACCAAGTTACGTGACATACGTTTGAAATCAAATTTTTTTTTTCTATCTGGCTAAAAACTCTCAAAAGCGAACGAGCTAACAGCTCTCATAAAATATGAAAAAAGTCAATACTATTTGTATATCAGTTCCATTCAATTAAAATATAGAGCACTCTTGACAAAATCGAACCTGAACAAAACTGATATAGTTTGTGTCAACTGCGTTAGGCGATCCATTTTAAGGTGGCAACCGATGTTGAAGGGCCCTTTATATTTGAAATAGGAACGTTATATGTTCGAAACTTTGTCTATTTGTATTATTTATTTATCGGGTTTTTTTTTTTTTTTTTGTTAAACACAATCTTTTTTTTTTTTTTGTTGAAATTGGTTTTTTTTTGTGGAACACAATCTTTAATTATTGAATACATAAAGATGATAAATTAAACAAATATAGGTACATTGCCAAAATATGTTGGGAAAGGATCGACTAAAAATATTTGTAACTGAGGATTTTATCAATAGATTTATAGAAAGCGTAAGAAGTTAAATAACTCTTTGAATCGAAGCATTATTGATTGTTGTTCATTGGTGTTCTTTGATTTTGTACCAACAGGATAAGGAGAAGGGAATGAGCAGGACCTTACATGTGACATTGTAATAATTTACGTCGGCTTTACACAAGTTTTAAATTCAGGAATGCCCGACTAGTTTTAAACTAAATAGGAGACCTTATTAAAAATTAATCGAACATCTCTGAATGCGAAACGTGAGTACGCTGGCATAAATAGTAACAGTACAGATCTAGATAAGTTAGTTACACACATAACACACGCACAAGCGCACGCATACAGCAAGCACACACATACATATATACACGGCGTGTGATCCTGGCATTAAATACACAACAGAATACAAGAATAATAACTGATATATTATATTAGATACGTAATATTGGTATACATAAATTAATAGGTAAGTAATGCATACACCATATAAGCGATTAGGTTTCACGTCCGTTTATTTCATCCGAATATTATTAATAGAGGCTTAGACATATATTATCTTACCTACATAATAAAACTATAACTAGACGATAACTACATGGAAAATAATTTAAATAAAAGAATTAAAAAGCACTCTCGCAAAATTATTCTTAATATTTTTTTTTTACAACTTAGAACAAGTTGACGGCCCACCTGATGGAAAGTGGTAACCGTCGCCTATAGACATGAGCAGTACCATGAACATAACAGAGTATACTGTTTCGCCCATAATACCCTCCATGCGTTGCCATTCCTGAGGACTAAGGTGTTATTCCTCTGTACCCAGTAAATTCACGCCATATCCCACCCTTCAAACCGAAACACAGCCATGCAAACACAACTGCTTCACGGTAGAAACACGAATAGGACAGAGGTGCCCAAGCAATTGACTTTTGTACAAAGTCTCCCTCTGGTAAAAGTGCAATAGAAGCCAAAATAACAATTTTCTGAAATATAGTATAAACCACCTCTTCCTTTCTTGTGGGTGTCGCAAAAGACAACTAAAGGAACTTAATGGTAGAGGGATGGGCAGTAGTAACCCTGTTAAAATATCTCTAAAAGCCTAACTGCGGTTTCCAATCCACCTGCCAAGCGTGACAACTACTGGCACAACTCCCCTTATGGGAAAGGCTTATGTTTAGCAGTGGACAGTTAACGGCTGGAATGATGAGGAATGATGATTCTCAAGTCCATCAGACATCCATTTAATTTTTTTTTATAACAATAATAATAATATATATTGAGTATATATGTATATGTTATAACAAACTAGTTGTAATTCATCGACTTGTTCACATGAATTGGGATAAAAATACCATACATCGATCATTCAGATCCATTCAGCCGTTTAAGAGGATTTAGTAACAAATATTATACTGTACAAGAATATTCCCTTGAAAGATTTTGGTGTAAGCTGCATGACATAACTATGTATATATTAATAGATTGACAATTTATTTAGATTCGAATTTAAAAAAAACTTCAAAATTTATACCTCGCAATAAGTTCTTTAGAAAATAAATGATAAATATGAAATCAGTGCCATGTGCTTTTTTCACTGTTACAATATTTTCGCGCCATAAATAAAGGTTTTCCATTATCATTTTATTTTTTTAATATTATCTTTTATGAAAAGGAGTCATTTACCTTGTACACTAAAATACGAGTAGTACTATATACATATATTTGGAGATGTCCATTAAACAGGTGACCTATTTTTCTATTCAATTTCAATAAATTTTATATTTCATATATTGTCCCCTAAATAAAATTTTCTAAAAAGTATATATATCCTCTAACGTAAAAATTAACTATTGAGCTTTTAAATTATTACTTTTATTTAATAATTTCAGTTTAATTTGTTTCATTTCACTAAATAACTGAGCTTTAAAACTTATGACTTCTATGCACTAAATGTTTTCTGTGAAATAGTTATAAAAGAAAAATATAAAAAAAAATTCTATATAGAAAGCTTCACTATCTACGAATAATATACGAGATATATTATTTCACAGATATTCCCACGGGATCAGGACCACACGTGTGAGGCAACGATAAACAAAATAAATTGCAAAGTTATAATTAGTTACTGTGCCCAAAATAAATATTGACTAGTAACTTGTTTCAGAAATCTGTTTACTTAAAAATAATTATAGCAATGTAGTTTGGGCTGCAAATTTATTGAATTCCTAGAAATGTAGCAGGCAAGAGACTACGTATTAATCCGGGTTCGGTTTTCAGACGCGCAATTTTGAAAACAATATTCACGAAATGGTTGTAAATATTTTATTTGTTTTTATACGTTTTTTAGGCTTCCGTACCTCCAAAGAAAAAAACGGAACCCTTATAGGATCACTTCGTTGTCCGCCCATCCGTCCGTTCATCCGTTTGTCTAACAAGACCCTTTTTCTGGAGGTATCAAGTTGAAATTAAAATCATATACTCAGGTCTACAATCTCTTAAAGCAGTGAAAAAAACAATCTTTTAAATCAACACAATCAAAAGATATGGTCATGTAACATTTATATCGTATATTTTGACTTTCGCCATAAACTAAAATTTTATCCCAACCATCTGGACGAGTGGCGGTCCTCCACCGTGCGTTTTTCAAGGCACTTTCTCCCACGCACAACCACTCTTTGGAATCAACTTCCAGCAGCAGTATTTCCGAACCGATACGACAACATAACCTTCAAGAAAAGAGCATATTCCTTTTTAAAAGACCGGCTACCTGCAGGTGTGCTACCTGCAATGCCGTAGGTGTTGTGGGTGACCATGGGCGGCGGTAGTCACTTACCATCAGGTGAGCCGCATGCTCATTTGCCCCCTGTGTTGTAAAAAAAAAGGTACAACCCCTATAGGGTACTTTCCGTTGACCTAGCATTATAAAATTTGGCAAGAAACAATTTCATGTAGCACAAGTAAAGGAAAATCACTGAAAACCGATATACTCGTTGCACAAGTCCGACTCGCATTTGACTGGCTTTTTTTTATTTCAGTCTACATTACGTCTTTTTAATTAATGTCATAATAAAAAGTCTTCCATTACAGGATACGGAGGTACATTTCAGTTCTCGGGAATAGTAATGTACGAGAACTGAAAGGGTAGAAGGTGCTCTCACGTTATATTCTTTATAGGGACATTTTTACGACAAATAATATGAAAGGCATGAATATCACAGTATATTATCACCGAATATACTGTGATTTTTATGTCTATATGTGACGGTTACCGTTAGGTGGGCCATCAACTTATTTGCTATTTCTACTTATTTATTTATTTTATTTTTTTATTTCACTCTTTATTGCACCAAAAACATAAAAATAAACAAAAACATATAGACAATTTAACTGAAATACAGTAGCATGAAGTACAGATTAGAATATACATATAAGGCGGTCTTATCGCTAGGGTAATTTCTTACAGACAACCTTTCCTTAAAGGAGAACATATAGAAGTGGGTAGGTGGTGCAAGAGTGAATTAATAATTTTATATAATAATCTTATATAAAAACATCTGGTTTTTGTTTTATTTTGACTTCTTGTATCAACACGTTGTATACATTAAAAGGCAGCTACAATAAAAGAGTACTTTAGAAAAGTATTAATGTAATTATTATCATTCATGTGATAAATTTAAATTTATGATTTTGTTAAGAAACAACCAAAGAAATGGACAGATAGATAATTTATTTGCAGTACTTACAGCACACAAACAACAACAGACGTAGATAGACATACACAATAAAAAGAGATAAAAGAACGCATATACAAAAAAAAAAGCAAAATACTTAAAAGAAGTAACATTTTTCCTTTCCTATATGTGCCATAGTACCACAAAATGGTCACAACCCAGTTTACTGTTTTGCTCTTTTAAGGACACACTAATATTCTGTTGTGGCCAAAAGAACAAGAAACAAACAAAACTCGAAATAAAACTCTGTATCTGCCCGTTTAGACCCGAATTTTATCTGCATGGGG